ATCCAATGCTGCCCTCATGTCTTGTACCCTAATTTGTCTTTCCAGATAATTATTAGCTATATTTTTTACCTTTCCAAACAACAACAACAACAAAATACCAACAAAAGACACTCTAATTGAGTCTGTAGAGAAAACAATTTCACTATAAGAAACCTTTTGTTATGCACGTTTTAAGCCAAAGAACATATTCTCCTAACAATTTAACACATAATTGGAAAAAAGTTATAAAAGATACTAACCTAAAATAACTATCACAAAAGTATATTGCTTCTTGAGGTTAAGGAAGACATTGAATATTTCATTATCTAATCCTCAATTTTTAAGTCCCCATTTTAATTAAGATTTGTTGATGATATAACCGTTATTCTAAGACAGATTGCCATATGCAGTTTTATTTCACCTCCGACTTGGCACTTAAAAGGTATACACGATCTGTCGCCACATTTGGTTTACTCTTCCAGGTAGAATCCAAGAGCATAAAAGGAAAATGGAGATCTTAGTAGTAATATACTTTGTAGGTATACACAGACACATTTTTTAAAAAGTACAAAACCAAATTCCCTAAGAAGAGAAACAGCAGATAGGAAAAGGTACATGACCTAACTACTTGGACAATAATATACTAAGATTTGACTTTCTCTGAGTTTCCTGCATTCAGTTATGATGGCTACTGCAAAGTGGACTTATAGATTTAGGCCCCTTATCACTTAAAACCATGGTCCAAAGAGATGCAGAACTCCCTCTCCTTGGCTCTTTAACATTTAAGTAAGAATTCTGTAGTCAGAATAATTCGTTCTACATGAATGTTTCCCAAACTATATCTTCCCAATCATGTCACATTTAGTTCTGCTGTAATGTGACATGTATTCTGAAAGTCAGTGTGCTATGCAAAATCTTGCAATACAACAACTAGGGCTATTGGGGAAAACAGGGGTTAGACACAAAACATTTATAAAGTTTATCAGCAACATGGTAAAAAAAAGGATAGAAACCTAATAAAAACAGTAGAACAGTTTTATGCATATTTAATAGTTAAAAACACATATACCTACAACAAATATGGCACTTTCCCTAGAAAAAGACTAGCATTCAGTTTGCCTGAGGAAGTCAGTTTCAGAATGGCTACAGCCTGTGAGTTATTATGAAGTGGTAAAGGGTGGGTTATCTGAAATCACATGAGACGTTATGACACTAGATGTGGAGGGTTGTGCTTCATAACATCTGCAGTGAGCTGAGGTAGCTGGGAAATGTTGTGTGTGCATGTGTGTGTGTGTGCGTGTGTGTTGTGTGTGCGTGTGTGTGTGTGTGTGTGTGTATTTCATACGCCGCCATGTGTCTTGGTTCACTGGGTGCACTTTCTACATTCACCTATTGTTTCTCCTGTACAAAACTGCAAAAACACAAAATCTGCATTACGCTCACAATGTTCCTTGCCATATCAATCAAGTTTGGAACAAATTTGCATTTTCAAAATGAGCATTATAACAGAACTGAGCATAATAGGTACTCGAAAAATAAAAGTGGAGAAAGTAAGTTCTATGTTCAAATATCTTTAGGAAATAAGGGGATTAAGCGACATTGGTTTTTTTCTAGCAAGAATTTCAGAAACTTTATATGCTAATGTAAACTCTGAACATTCAAGTTTGCAATAGTTTCTAAAATTATTTAACCTTAGAATCTATCCTTTAATCTGTGGTGCAAATAATATTAACATCTCCTTAAAACAGTATTCCATGTAGCACAGTTAGATGAATACTTCTCTTTAGTAATGTTTCATATTTGTTATACAACATAAAATGAGGATTTTTACTCATAAGAGCAATATATTATGATCCAGCTCAATTTTGTGTGTATTAAAAAAAGAAATGTCTGCAATAAATTTTCAAAAATACCATTAATGTGTCTAACATTGATGCTTGTATTTCTTCTGGCTCATGGAGAACTAAACTATGGCAGACAATTTACACGCCTCCTTGGAAATGACAAAAATGTCATATTTTCAGCATGATTAACCATGAAATCAGGGTTTTATAAATCTATACCAAATCATTAAATTTGAGATTTTAAATGCATATGATTTTTTGGAATTTCAGTGTGATCATAATTCTATAAATAAAATCCTTTTTGTGAAAAGCTAAAAGGAGTTTTGCTTTCAGTTACTAATTGTACCTAGTTATCATCATAAAGTAATTATATTATACTATATTATACCTATTAATAACTTTTACAAATTAAAGATGATTGTGCATTCATAAATATAGAGAAGAGCATTCCCAGCAGAGAGAATAAACTCATGAAAAACTCTAGGGTGAGCATAGATAGTCTAGCATACAAGTTTGACTACAACGAACATTCCGTGAAGGGTAATAGTGAGAAGTGAGTTTAACAATGAGAAAAAGAGGAGTCAGACACTGTGGTAGAATCAAAGGTATTTTACAAGAGAATGCATGTAGGGATTATTGAGAAAGATAGACAAGTCAAAGATACTCTGAATGGAACAATTATGACACCAAGAGAGGTAGAAAGCACAAAGTCAAGAGCTGACCCAGGAAGAAGATTACACAGAGTTAACTATCTGATACTTAAACATCAGAGTATTTGATAATAGATTTCTTCCCTATTGCTCATTTACTAGGTAATTCACTACTCAAACAAATCTAAAATAAGGGAAAGAAGGATTTTCATGGATTTTCTGCTTGTAAATAGCTCCATTGAAAAGTCTGAAAGTCAAGGTAATTAATGCTAGCTGCTGTGATAGGTGAACATCATAATTTCAGCAGCTTAACACAGTAATATTAATTGCTGGCTCAGATCACAGTTTAATTAGTTGGTGGGCTGGGGTGTGGAGGGCTTTGGAGAGGTGAGTTCTGCTCTGTGCAGTTATTCAGAGACCCAGGCTCCTTCCATGATATGGTGGCCTCTATAACATGAGGCTTCAAAGACATTCTGCAGTCAAGTGCTAAGACAGAAAGGAAAATGTGTAGAGTCATGAGGGAGATAACACAATGCCCACATTCCATTAGTAAGAGTTCAGTCATAAGGCCCCACCCAGGAATGGATAGGATATGTTAATTTAGCTCACTGCTCAGGAATAATACCTACCGTTGTCGCAAAGGCAAAGGAGATAAAGCCCTTACCTAAATAACAGAGGACTTAAAATTAAGCCTCAAGGAATTCTCTCTTCTTGATTCTATTTTCAGTAGCCACAAACTGTACAGAGAGCTGAAACCAAAAGCAGTCATAAAAAGAAAAAGATACCATATGAAATTTCAGAACCTGGAGTTTAATTAATTTAAAAAGTAACTTTGCCATGATTTGTTAAACTTCACTTAAATAAAACATTCAGAAACTCTGATAAATAACTAGCATCCACTCATCTTGGCTTGAATAAGTAAAGTTGTCAAGGTATGTAAATTTTTCATTTACAAAGACTTCGATTATAGGGGTAGAATGGCTACCTTAAAAAAAAAAACTGATTTCTAATTTCTCCACAGCCTCACCAATGCTTGCTACCTCATATTTTTTATAATAGCCATCCTAACAGGTGTGAGATGATATCCCATTGTGGCTTTGATTCACATGTTCCTGACGATCAATGATGTTGAGCATCTTTTCATGTACCTGGTGGCCATTTGTATATCTTCTTTGGAGAAGTGTTTATTCAAGTCCTTTGCCCATTTTTATATTGAGTTATTTTAGTTTTTGCTATTAAGCTGTAAGAGAGTCTTACATATTTTGGATATTAACCACTTATCAGACAGATGGTTTACAATATTTTCTCCCATTCTCTAAGTTGCCTTTTCAATCTGTTAATTGTTTCCTTTGCTGTTCAGAAGCTTTTTAGTTTGACGTAGTTCCACTTGTCTATTTTTGGTTTTGTTGCCTGTGTTTTTGATGTCAAATTCAAGAAGTCATTGTCAAAACCCTTGTCAAGAAATTGTTGCCCAATAGGTATAAAGTTTCAGTTATGGGAAATGAGTAAGTCCTAGAGATCTGATATACAACATAGTATCTATAGTTACTATGATATCGTGTACTTTAAAATATGTTAAGAGGACAGATCTCATGTTAAGTGTTATTACCATAAAAAAATACAAGAAAATTTTTGGAGGTGACAAATATGTTTAATATCTTCATTGTGATGATGGTGTCATGGGTATATCCTGAGTATCACATATGTTTAAATGTTCAAACTCATTAAAATATCTACATTAAATACGCGCAATTTTCACATATCAAGTACACCTCGATAAAACTTAGAAAACCGAGTGTCACCTAGTTATATAAACCCTTTCTCAGTTTAGAGGAAATATAGTTTACATTAATGCTATCTGATCTTTAACTATTGTGAATGAAAATAAAACTTTTCCAGCTACGATAAAAGAAACTCTGCAATGAAGAAATATCAGATATTAGTGCCTAAGAAATGAACCCCTTCTTGAGCCTTCTGATAAATTATAGCAACCTACATATTTCTTCCATCTATAGCACAGTCTCCTGTAGTATCAAATATTTCCCCTATGTTTCAGGCATTTTAAATTGAAACGTTACTGCCTGGATTCTCAATTCAAAAAAATTTAGAGGATAAATAAATTCAATATCCTGGCCAAAAAAGTAGTGCATCTATTTCAGGAAAACACACTTACACACAGACACACACACAGAGACACACACACATCTTTTTTAAGCAGGAATAAACTTGGTGCCTCAAGATGATCTGTTGTGATACCAAAGAATGCCCTTTACGGACCAAGTCGTTTTCCTTGAAAACTTGAAAAGAGAAACTCATTCCCTCACATCCTGCTTGCCTCCCGATCGCACAAGCTTCTGCATCTGCATCCGTGCTGCCCTGCAGTTTGTCTCTCTGAAACACCATCGGTGTCTCACAGTCGTCCACAGGACGTGGATTGGTCAAAAAGAAGCAGAGGAGGGGCCACCCCGAACATTTCCTTCCCTCCACACACCATAAAAATCAGCAGCAGCTACTAACACTCAAAGCAATGCTTCAGGTTGCGAACCTCTGAGAGGCAGCCGAAGTGAGCATGTGCACACAGATTCGTCTCCCAATGGCACAGCAGCTACTACTAGGAAAATTATCTTGAAAAGACCTGAATGCATAAGACTAAAGTTAAAGTGGAAGTGAGAACAACAACAAAAGCAAACAGCAGACTTTTGCTTTTGACGGAGACTAAGCCTTTTGAAGCCAAAGATTTTAAAGTGATGGTGATCAGAGCAGTACCTGAAAGAGACTAACACTTCCATTTCAAGCTTTGGAGCACGTGACATTTATTTACTCAGGACAGGCATGCCAGTGTTAGCCTCGTAACTTTCGGACAGAAAGAGACGTGGAGAAAAGTCCCTGACCCAGGAGGCGAAAGCAGTTCAGAGGGGATCGGAATCCACTTGGCGCAGGATGAACTATACTCGCCCCCGGGGAACGCACGCCTCTCTCCACTTCTGGAACCGCAGCACCCACGGACTGCGCAGCAATGCCAGTGAGTCCCTCGGAAAAGGCTACTCTGATGGAGGGTGCTATGAGCAACTCTTTGTCTCTCCCGAGGTGTTTGTGACTCTGGGTGTCATAAGCTTGTTGGAGAATATCCTGGTGATCGTAGCAATAGCCAAGAACAAGAATCTGCATTCGCCCATGTACTTTTTCATCTGTAGCCTGGCTGTGGCTGATATGTTGGTGAGCGTATCAAACGGATCAGAAACTATTGTCATCACCCTGTTAAACAGTACAGATACAGACGCACAGAGTTTCACAGTGAATATTGATAATGTCATTGACTCAGTGATCTGTAGCTCCTTGCTTGCATCGATTTGCAGCCTGCTTTCAATTGCAGTAGACAGGTATTTCACTATCTTTTATGCTCTCCAGTACCATAACATTATGACGGTTAAGCGGGTTGGGATCATCATCAGTTGCATCTGGGCAGCTTGCACAGTTTCAGGCATTTTGTTCATCATTTACTCGGACAGCAGTGTTGCCATCATCTGCCTCATCACCATGTTCTTCACCATGCTGGCTCTCATGGCCTCTCTCTATGTCCACATGTTCCTCATGGCCAGACTGCACATTAAGAGGATCGCTGTCCTGCCGGGCACCGGCACCATCCGCCAAGGTGCTAACATGAAGGGGGCGATTACCTTGACCATACTGATTGGGGTCTTTGTTGTTTGCTGGGCCCCATTCTTCCTCCACTTAATATTCTACATCTCTTGTCCCCAGAATCCATACTGTGTGTGCTTCATGTCTCACTTTAACTTATATCTCATACTGATCATGTGTAATTCCATCATCGATCCTCTAATCTACGCCCTCCGGAGCCAAGAACTGAGGAAAACCTTCAAAGAGATCATCTGTTGCTATCTGCTAGGAGGTCTTTGTGATTTGTCTAGCAGATATTAAATGGAGACAGAGAAGGTACTAAAAACAGGCATAAGAGACTTTTTCATTCTTATACAACCTGAACAGTGTGCTTGCTTCAGCAACAGCTTTTTCTTCTGTGTAGGGCATTGGTTGAGAATATGTATTGTATAAATTTAAGTTTATGATTTTTGATATAAAAAAGCTTAGTCTCTGTATATTCTTAATGTCATGCTACTCTTTGGCTGTACAGTGTTAATCCATATTATAGTTTGTGGACACTGTGGATTTACAAAGAAAGTCCTTATTAAAAGCTTAACAATGTCTCTTTCTTATAACTCATGAGGATTTGATACCTTGCTTGCTTCAGTAACATAGGAATTATTAGATATATTCTAACAAGTGGTTTTTTATATTACACTACACAACATTGAGATGTAGAGAGTTGACTCTCACATTTAAGGGGAAAATATTGAAGAACAGGTGGTTAGCCATTCAAAAAATCAGCTGAAATTTTAAGTAATTTAATGTGTTCATTCTCCCTTTGGAAGAAGAGAAATGAAGTTCCTGTTGAGAGAAAAAAAAGTTCCTATTGGGGGAAAAATAAAGGTGAGATTTTGAGTCAGAAAACTCTGCGTGTGTCTCAAAGACACAGAGATTAGTTTGCCCAAGCAAACAGTTTGATTTTCCACACAGGCAAGCCAGTTTGGAGGAGGGTGAAGCAGCTATGGGGATTACAGTATTCTGGAAAAACCTGTTAACATGTCAAGCTAAACTTCTTGATACCAATCTATCTGCAATCATCATTAATAAAAACAGAGAATAAGCTCTTTCTGACCCTTTTAACCAGGGACCAGCATCTGCTGAACTATCCAGAAAAGGTGGTGCTCCGAGAGACCTAGCTTCCAATCTCTAAAGAACAGTACTGTTAGTGTCAAGTTTTTTCACTTTTCCCATGGAAGTGACTTGCTGTTTACTGATTGCTTACTTTTGAACTGGAGTGTAATCACTCATTATCAAGGTTTTTCACTTTAACAAAAAAAAAAAAAAAGGTTTTTAATTTTAAAAATCAAATCTATTGCATAAGTATTTTCAGGTAAAATTTGTGAATATCTAAAGGAAGGGAACCTCTGATGGCTGATACATTTTAAGCAGGAAAGAAAGCACTTACCGAACCCCAGAGGATGACCTGACATAAATTTACTTTCTATAACCACATTTTGAAGAGTAAATACTTATCTTGCTCCAAAAAGAATCCTACAGATTTGGCTGCTAGGCAATATAATCTATACTTTCCAATTCGTGTATGCTTTAAAATAAAGAGAGAAAATATATTAGGCTGAGGATTGTCAGTAAACTATCCTTTAATTTAATTTACAGTATCTTCAAATGTTTATGGGCAGAGATAACATGCAAAGGCACTTCTTAATTCAAATCTAAATGTTTTACATATTGACAAGTCCTGAGAAACAGTTTCGGCATTCATGTAAAAACATTATATTATATATAATGGGGATGTTAAAGTTTACAAATGTAAGTTTGATTCACCGTATTCCTCTATTTCGACACAAAAATAAGTGTGAGGATTTTAATATAGACTGATATAACAGTCAAAGCCCAAAGCTGTAGCTAAACACAGATCGTGTGCTGTCTTTGCTTCTATTCCTGTCCCTTCTTTTGTGTGGGAGTGTGAGAAATCTCGGGAACCATAGATATGAAAAAGGGAGCTATAAGCCTGTCCCCTCTTCTGTGGTGGCTGTCCTCCCGGTGTATTTATTTCTCCTTCAAGTGTCACTTCAGATGCAACTTTGTTCCTTTAGAACCAGTCCACTTCTCCCACCGAAGGAAATCAGCTCCTTTGACTTCATCACACCTTGACAGTGTCAGGGTGAGTGTTAGCCATGAACCTGCCCTGCCCGCCGGCTGGGTCCCCTGCATGCCCGTACACAGTATTAGGCTTTGGTTTCTTTAACGGCGAAGACTGTGTCTTCCTCGTTTTTTCTGTTCTCCAAATATCCCTGCTATGTCACTTCCTCTCTCTCCAGTAAAGCCGAGATTCTCCCAGAGGGGCATAACCTTATCACCCAAAGTGCACACTTTACATTGCGTCCCCTTACGGTGTTGTAACTCTATGTGTTTTGACGAAGGTATAATGACATGTATTCACCATGATAGTGTCATGCAGAATAGCTTGACTGCCTTAAAAATTCTCTATGCTCTGCCTATTTACCCCTCTCCCCCTTCCCCCGAAATCCTGACCACCAGTGACCCTTTCATTGTCTCCACAGTTTTGCCTTTTCCATAATGGCATATGGTTGGAATGATACAGTATATAACCTTCTCAGATTGGCTTCTTTCAATTGGTAATATGCATTTAAGATTCCACTACGCATTTTCATAATTTGGTAGTTTATTTCTTTTTAGTACTAAATAATACTTCATCCTATGGATGTAACACAGCTAATTTATGTATTCACCTACTGAGGACCATCTTGGCTGCCCTTAAATTTTAGCAATTATAAACAAAGTTGCTATAAACTTTTTTGTGTGGGCATAAGTTTTCATCTCATTCTGAGGCACAGAAATTAACTTTTTAAAACTTTGGTATAAATAGTGTGATATATAGTGTCTATCCTTTAATATTTCATTAAAAGTGATTTGTTAGTATTTGAATTATGTTGGTCAAGAATATACATTCCAGATGGAGCTGATAATTGGCATCAGATACTTGTATTGAAATTTTTACCAGAAAGTTCAATTAATAATTATAAGATATACTGGAAATAATTTGTCACTAGTGAAATGAGTGATTTTCAAGACTTACTGTTAACTTAAAAGTTGTGATCACCAAAATTTGCATAAACAAGTACAATATCTGTGCCCACTGAGCAGCTAGCTTAACACTCAGACTCTATGCCACAAATTCCAAATAGTCCCATGTGTCCCCTGCCTGCTTTGAGAAAGTCTCTGTTGCCCAAACTATTTTGAAATTATTTTAAAATTGTTGAAGAATTATTTCATAACATATAAATACAGCTTCTGTTTTATGTTATAAGGAATACACAAAACAGAATGTTTAGTTTGATACCAACTATCTAAAGAAAGTACCACCAATCTACTTAGATACCGTCTACACACTACTTTCCATAGATCGTGAGTGATCAGTAGTCATTTTCCTTGGATGATGATATCAAGGGACATGTTTGCTCTTTATTGTATAAATTTACAATGGACATATTTTAATTTGATTAATTTTTTTAAAGCACTCATAAACATTACAACAGAAAGAGGGCAATGCAATTGCCAAATTATCAATGATCTGGGGAAAAGAGTAAATGTGAAAGATGTTAGTTTTGAATGAGAGCAGATCTCAAATATGATCTCATTTGACCCTCTAGGCAGACTCTGGGAGATGGCCTCGTGTCATATGGCAGTGTCAAAGCCTGAAACCCAGCTTCTGACTCCTTCTCCAGATTTCCCTGTACCACAATTTAAGAATCTTCTTCTGTAGACAAGTAATTCTCCTCGTCATAAAGAATTAGTACTGAATTCCGACTACACCAATCTTTAGCTGTGAAATTTTATTGAAGTTAGTTTTCTTCTAATTAAATGTGTATAATAATATCTGTCTGATGGGAATCTTCAAAGAATAAAAGGTAATTATAAGATCAAGGATGTAAAGTTCCAAAAGCAGTGCCTAATACATATAGGTATTCAAAAATGGTAATTATCAGTATTTTTAAAATACAAAGTAAATAAATAAAAAACCCATGCATGAATGAAGACTGATTAGTTTTTCTGTCTTTTATCTTTTTCAGACTCTCAACAAATGGGCTTAATTATATAACTTTTCTTAGGTCACATTTTGTAATTTCCTTGAATTTGACCTTTTTTTTTTTTATAAAAAATGGATATATTTAAACATGGTAGAAACATAGGCATACCTGTGTTCTAAAAAAGTAATTTGTCACCAATAATGCTAATTGTTTTCAATTTTGCAGTGCCACATTTAATACTGAAAAAGGCTAATTAGAAAGATAATGTGCCAAACATGAAATAACCAATTAGCCCATTTCTTCAAAGATTAATTGATACTCATTAAACTTTATGCCATAAATTTAAGTGTTAGTACAAAAAAAAAGACATTATCTAAGTTGATACCCCTGATATTAAATGCAAACCCTTGAAAAAGACCACAAGAAATAAATTTATAGTCACATCTCGATGCTCAGTTATTTTATTAGTCCATCACATATTGATCAAAGTTAAATATATGAGAGCAGAAAGGACATACAATGTGCACTTTATGCTCTTTGTACTCTTTGTGCACTTTTTTCTACTACTTTATGAACTTTACGAATAGTGGCTTCAACTCCCAGATTTGCCAGCTCTAGAACTTTGGGCAAGTTACTTAACTTTCCTAAGCATCTATAATCTGAATTTTGAAATGCAGATAATAATAACCACCACCTCATCATATGGTCATCGATAAATATTAAAGAATGTAAAATTAGATAATCGATTTTAGTGGATCTGGTACTGTGCTTGTCACTGTAGGTATCTACTACTGCAATGATCAAACAAGTCACACTCAAACGGTCATCAGAGCCTAAATCCTAGGAGAGGTTAAATGATGACACAGACATGGATGTTCTCACTTTCCCGCTGTGCAGAAACAGGAATCCATTCAAATCTGTTTTCCGTATTTCATTTATTTCTAACAAGCAAAGCAAGTAAAAATAAATTCCTATCTTTATTACATAAAGAAATTTTGAACAATCCAAAAAAAAAAAAAAAATCAGGGAAGGTAGGGGATAGGATTAGGTAGGAAGACACAAATTGTTTTAACAGCTTCGGTCATGTTTTAATATTTATGAATATTAACCCATTGCATAATGGGTTTAAGGTATGCTTTAATATTATGCTCCACAACTCAGAAATATATGACATATACTGTGCTGTAGATATTTAATATTATATGAAAATTAAATAAATACAACACATTTATTGTGTATGTGCTTAGTGAGAGAGAATATGCAAAATTATGT